AGGCTGTGAAATTAAAGCCGTTTTGATTTCATCTTTTATTTTCCATATCCACTAATTTATTAAACGCCGTTAAATGTTGGCCTGATTCTGGCTCATAGAGTGCACTGGGGACTGCTGAGACTTGGTGTTTAAAAATCTGCTACAAGCACAGATGGCTGCAGGGTGAAAGGACACTGTGACCTCTGACCTCAGACCAGAGGGTATGCTGGCCCTGATGGGGCCGGGCAGGTGAGCAGAGGCTCACACCAGGTCAGAAGTTCAGGTAGGTAATGAGGGTTTGGGGAGGGTTGGCTGTGGGGGACTGCTTTTCCAAGTGGGTGTGAATGTCTGGGTTTGTTCTGAACCTTGCTCATACATTTCTTCACTCATCCATCCACCCTTCATTGAGCAAATATTCAGTATTGCAGGCACATTCTGGGCCCTATGATGGAAGAAGCATGGATAAGCCCTGGTAGAGTATGTCTTTTTGTGAGAGTGATTAGCAAGCCTACACAGAAGCTTGGGTCCCTTATATGCTCCTTCGGACCCATACTGGCTGGGTTACTTGTGTGGAAGGAGATAGAAACTCAAGAGGCAGGCCCCTACTCAGGGGACTCACTGTCCTTGCTACCTCTGCCCTCTGTTCTCAATCCAGTCTGCTCAGAATGGCCTGAATCCTTTTCCAAAACACCTCTCTCATCACATGGCTGTGTGATCTAAGATTCTGCATCTCTCCTAGGCCCTAGTCCCTTTAAACTGCAGGATTTGGGCTGGATCATTGCTCCGATCCCTTCCAGCACAGACCTTGCCATATCTAGGAGGTACAGCTCTTAGACAATGTTCAATGATGAGTGGTTCTCAACTAGAGTCAATTTTGTTCCCCAGGAGGTGACAAAATATCTGCAGACATCTCTGTTTGTCAGAGCTGAGGGAGTATCTGTGGCATGCAGTAGGGACAGTCTAGGGATGCTGCTAACCCTTCATGACCCTGCAATAAAGAACTGTTTGGCCCCAAATGTCAGCAGAGGTCTGGAAACCTGCTCTGGGCCCATCCTCAGGCCAGGCATTACAACCCTGTGGAAGGGCCTCGTGTGGTCTCTGGGGTGGCTGAACACAATGCTGGCTCTGGAAGGGATGGCATTCATGAGAGAGGTGCTTGGAGGCCTCCAGTGGAGTTGGGCAGGCTGGACAGGAGTGCTTAAGAGCTTGTACCTGATAGGTGGCAATGAGCAGTAGAAAAGAGTTGGCAGCAGAAACAGATTTGCTGCACATTTGGAGAGCAAATCCTTCCCTGGACAGGTAGGAGAGCAAGAGGGCAAGAAGTTGGTCCTGAGGCCTGAGAAGAGGACAGGAAGAGAGTGAAGCAGAGATTACAGGGAAGAAGAATGCAAGGCCTGGGGGTGGCACTTCCAGGGCTCACTACAGAGAGTTCAGCTGGTGGCACATTTGAAAATTCCCTTCCAAAATCAGAGGTCTGTCTCAGCAGAGGTGACAGAGCTACTATCAATTCAGGGGTGAAGAATCTGACACAAGGCAGGGTAACTCGGGATCAGGACCCAGCCAGCCAGTGGCCCTGCCTTGCCTGGCCCAGCCAGGACCCACCTGCCCCAATGTGGTCTGGATCTGGCAGGCACCCTTCTCTAAGCAGGGACAGGCTAGGACTTCCTTTCCCCTGCCTGCTCCCGAGTTGAGGTATTTCAAAATAGCTTCAACCCAAGGCTCCAAACAGAGCTGCATCCAAATGTAGACAGACAGACTCCTACATGTATCACAGACTCTCCAGGAAGCCCAGATTTCAGATATGTGTTGTTCAAGGGCTACCTGTGCCTTTCAGGAGGGAGAATATGCAGACCCTCAGTATACACAGGAGCCCCCATGCCCATAGGCCAAGCAGGGTCCTCATCTCCTGGGCCATTCCATACACGTGCAGCAAGTAAACTGAGGCTCAGAGATGCCCCAACCTATCTCAGGTTAGCTCTCCACAACCTCTCAATGACGAAGTTAGCGCTGATCAGCCCTACATCTCCATGGCATTTCTCCTTGTCTTTAGTGTGAACCACACTGACAGTAGCTTTGCCATGTGCTTCTGCCGTGTGTCATGCTTGTCTGCACAGGCACCGCTCCTCTAGGGCTGCCTCTAGGACAGGTATCTTGGTGCTGGCCACCTGTCAGCAGGAGATACCACATTCACAGGTCTCCCAAGAAGGAGGTGTAGAAGTCTCATCCAAATGTAGAAGGCAGAGACTTAGCCTGGTGTTGTGGTCAGGCACCAACCACTCATCCCCCTTGGTTTCCTCATGTCTTCTGTGTGTTTTTCCCTGAAATCTCTGCCTGGTTATCTGAGGCTGAAATTGAGGTTCCTCCCGGAAGGAGACCCCAGGATATGGGATGTGGCAGCAGGATGTGCTGGCAGGCCTCAGCACTGAGCAGACAAAGGATGCCCTGGACCTGTGGGAGGGCCTCTTGGGAGGTGGGGAATGAGTAGAAAGTTTTGAGACGAACAGCGCACCCAGCAGGCTTGGGAGCAGGCTACTTTTGACAGGGCCTAAAAAACCTGTAGATAGCAGGTCTGCCTGGCTCTCACTGAGGCTGGTAGGAACAAGGAGAGGAAGTAAGAAAGAAAGCTGGTGATGACAGAGCTTCCTGGCTCTGCTGCTGCCATGGTGGAGGGAAGCTCTAAAACTGGGTGTCGGGATAGACCTAATTAGGGGTGTATAGTAGGATGGTGGCCAGCCTGAGAAGGACTGTGCTCTGTGTATGTGAAGTGGTGGTTTCTGCAGAGGCTGTGCTCAGTGGCAGGGTGGGGGGTCATCGTGTAGCTTCAGGCTTTTTTCTGTTCACGCACTTGCTGCAGTGGGGTTTCCACTTACTCATTCCAGATCTTGCTCTTAGAGCCATAAGTCTTTAGCCTGAAGAGCATTCATTTCCAGGCTGCGATTAATGAAAGAAAAATTGAGATAGCAGCATGGAAAGTGACCAGATTTGAAGAAAGTCAGTGACAAGTTGATGCAAATTTCAGTGTGTCATGGGTGAACCCCCAGGCTGGGGGCCACCTGGTGGTAGCAGAAGGTGGCGGTATCACTCCCCTCGAATGCTGTGCGAGTCATCTGGGTGCATGCACTAGGTCTGCAGGTGCTATTCTTTGGCTGCCTTTGCCCTAGTTCCAGCTGAGGCTGCTCCAGGGCAGAAGACGTACGTGACCACTATCCTCAGCATAGGGACCTGGCAGATGCTTGGTTTACCTGATTTTCCCCAGCTCTTTGGTTTTCTACTCCAGGCAAATATCTCCCACTATTTGTTTTTTCTCACATAGTCTGGGCCACCTTTCTGTTTCTACATTAATCAAAATCTTCCTCAGTCCTCGAAGCCCAGCAAGCCTTGTCAGCACGCTGTATCTTGCATTGAGCCTTTTCTCACTGTTGCCTTTCTGTATGCTATGACCTCTGTCGTGCCCACTGCTCTCTGGCTGCCTCTCCACTCCTTCCTCTTAGGACTGTAGCTACAGGGATGTGTGGGAAACCAGTCAGACAGTGTCACTGCCCTGCTCTGGGACAACCTGGATGTTTTCCTACCTGCAGGCTCTCTTTCTGCTGTCCCTACCGTGTGTCATCTTACTTGCTGTGTTGTAGCCACATTGCCACTTGGCTGGGCAGGCTCCTTCTACCTCCAGACTTCTGTGCCTGATGCACCCCTATCTAGAGCACTGTCCCCCAGCATTGGCAAAGTTCCTTGTCCCTCATCTAACACTGCCCTTTTCAGGAAGTCCTCCCTGACTTCTCTGCCTCCAGTTACTTTCTAACCCTTACACATCCTTATTCTTCCTCCCTCACATCAGCACCTAAAGTTCTATCAGTGCTCGCTCCTGTCATGATGGCATCCTCTTCATGAAGGCAAACTCTTTGCTGGGTGTCCACCACCACCTCCCTGTGTGCCAGACAGCATTCCCAAAGGAAATGTGATCCTCTCCCACAAACACCAGACCTTTTTCTGTGCAGTCTAGATTGACGTCATCTCAGCCCAGCACATCTGTGTGTGCTCCTTGAACAGAGCAGCTGGAGAACAGGGGTCATGTTCACATCAGGGAGTCACAACCACCCGCATTTATTTGGCGCCAGCCTATAGTGCCAGTGTGCGGTGAATGCTGTGTTTTATTGCCTTCTCCATCCAGAATGGAGGCCCCTGGAAGGCAGGTCTCTAAAGTAGCTGTAGTTACTCTGGCACTGGCTGCTGTATGCTGTAGGTACTCAATAAATACTGGTTGAATGATCGGCTTCTCAGATGCAATATACTTCCCCCTAGACAGCGGAGGGAGTGGGGCAGTGTCTGCTATATGGAGCATAAAATAGGCAGATGTGGGGTTGGCGCCAGAGAAAGAGGAGCTTTCCTAGGTGGAGCAGCTGGCGTCGTCCGGCGCCTGGGGTGCTGGGAAGAGAGTCGGCTGCAGGCCCCTCATGCTGGCAGCTCGCCAGGGTAGCCGTGGGCTCCCCACCCTGTGCCATAGCCATCCCCTCCACCAGCCCCATTCCTGTTCTTCTTTCTCTGCCTATGGGCTTTGTTTTTCAGCCTCCTGGAACAGGGTCAATGAGATTCAGCCACTAGAAGTTTTGGCTGTGCTCCCCAAAACCAGTCCTAACTTGCTTATGTGCCTCCACTGTCCCTCCATCCCTCTGTCTCTCTATTCCTCCTTCCCTCCATCCCTCTGAGGCCCTCATCCTAAACATTAGGCCTTTTCCTTGTAGCTGCCTCTTTGCGTCTTGTATCTTCTACATATTTGCTGTGTGCTTTTGTCTTGGACTCTACTGTGAACCTGTGAGGCTCATGAAACAGTTCTACTCCTGTTCATCAGATGGGGAAACTGAGGCACCGGAGGTGGAGGGTTTGTCATGGTCACCTGCTTTGGATCTGAGACCCAGCCACTGCCTTTGTGGTCTCAAGGCTGGGGTGGGTAATTTGCAGTCTTGTAAGTTCCAGGTATTGCAGGCGAGAGCAGCACTGATCTAACAGTTCTCCTTTCTCTCCAGCTCTGTGGCTGTGGGCTGCTTGGAGTAGGCATCTGGCTCTCCGTGTCCCAGGGCAACTTTGCCACCTTCTCCCCCAGCTTCCCCTCGCTCTCCGCAGCCAACCTCGTCATCGCCATCGGTACCATTGTTATGGTGACAGGCTTCCTTGGCTGCCTAGGAGCCATCAAAGAAAACAAGTGCCTCCTGCTCAGTGTGAGTTGGACCTCAATCCCAACCCCAGGGGACACTGCATGGCACTGTGTGTGGGTTGCTAAGGGAGGCAAAGCCTAGAACACCAAATCCCCACAGCCCCAACCCTAGCCCAGGGCAGTCATTCCTAGAATGTTGTATGCTTGACCTGACCGCAGTCCTACTGACCCCCTGGGTCTCCGCAGGAGTAGTGGCCCTTCTCAGTCCTGGAAAGCCCTGCCAGCTCCTGCCTGTGCCCTGCCCTGCCAGCCTTCATTTGTACTGTCCCTGGCTATTGTCACTACCCTATGCTCATGCCTGGACCGTTTCTTTCTAGTTTTTCGTCGTCCTGTTGATCCTCCTCCTCGCAGAACTGATCTTGCTCATTCTTTTCTTTGTCTACATGGACAAGGTAAGCTTTATAGCAAGGGAACAGCAGATGAGAATTGTGGCCCTGGGGTTGGGCCAAGCCAAGGTAGGTTCTTTCCCAGGCCAGAAGAGAGGCCTTGGCAAGCAGCTCAGTAGAGAAAGAAGCATGGGATTGGGAGATGTAGGAAGGCTAACCAGGAAGGACTATGGTAGAAGGTTTTGGTGGTGACTGTATAGAGAAAGCAAGTTTGAGGACATTGGGGGAGTTAGTCACCTGTGCAGTCTTAGGAAAATAGGATACCCAAAGGACACAGAGATGTCCTTGGCAAGCTTACCATTACTGAAATTTTGTATAACAACCATCTGGAGAGGAGACTGAGACTTTACCAGTGGTTGGCTGCTATCTTTGGATGATCTAAGAGTGACCCATTTGAAACAAGAAGGGCCTTTCCTGGCCACCTTTAATGTGTTAGGGTCAGGGTTGTAGACCTGACAGTGAAGGGCAACTGCATTCCTTCTTATTGATCTTTAGTAAGGTCACTGTCCCTAGGAAGATGGCCTGAGCAACCTTAGCCTCCTTACTAGCTGGACCGTTTGCACCCCCATTGAGTCTTTTTTGAGTAACTCCCGAGGATGCCCAGGCATGCTCTTGGGACCTCAGAACTTAGCTAGCTAGCTTGGGATTCTTTGCTCCCTGAAGCTATATACGTGTCCCTGGGTAGCCAGGTGACAGACACAGCTGGAGGCCTTAGTAGGACTTCAGTTCTATAATTGTGAAAGGGAAGAGAAGTAACTATATTGAGAAATTGCTCTGTGTGGCCCTGTATGTGGCTGTTCATAGCAATTGCTTTCTTTCATTCTTTCAAAATCCTCACGAGGTATAGATCTTATTATTCCAGTAGCACAGGGCAAACAGAGCCGAGAGAGTAGCCATGCTGCTTGTTTGTGAGGTGGACATAGGGCAAAGGTGTCTTTCCCTCATGATCTCAAGGGGTCTGGGGTGGTCTGTGTGGGTGGGCAGAGTGGCAAGCAACACAACTGCCCCTGGGGCCAGACTGGCAGGAGGTGATCTGTCTCTTTTGCCTGGTAGGACCATAGCTCTGGCCCTAGGAGTTTAGCTGTGCCACAGATAGCAAGCAATCAGTGCAAACTAGAGCCAGAAGCCAGGGTTCTCTCACCCCTCTCTCCTTGGGCCCATTGATTCCCTGCACTGTCAAGAGGTGCTCCTGCCACAGTCCTCACTGCTGGCTAGGGCCTGGCAGGGAACCACACTCCCTGTGGGCCCAGTGACCTGCAGTGCTAACCTCACCCATCCAGGTGAATGAGAATGCCAAGCAGGACCTGAAGGAAGGACTGCTTCTCTATAACACTGAGAACAACGTGGGGCTCAAGAATGCCTGGAACATTATCCAGGCTGAGGTGAGTCACTGGGCCTCTGGGATTTTAGCCAGCAGTAGGGACCAGACCTGGGGCTATTCACAGGTGGGGGACAAGTAGGTGACGGGAGGCTAGCAAGACTGGACATTGGAGTAGCTGGTGGAGGGAGCTGTAGGGTGAGAATTAGAGAGGAGAGTAGGTGGTACCCCCAGAGTAGGTTGATACTCCCAGGAGGCAGCAGGCAATGCATCAGGCAGCCACTAGGAATGCAAAGCTGCCTGGTGCTAGAGACAGTCTGAGGGGTGGTGCATTGCTTTCTCCCTACCTGGTCCCTGGAAGGAGCAGTCATTCATCACCCAAAGAAGGGAAAGAAGAAGGCCCCTGTCTCCTGCTTGAGCTCCAGGGCTGCTTCAAGGACTCGGCTTGGCCTCTGTGGGGAGGCCTGGGAGGAAAGGACCAGCTGTGGTGAGCTTTCCTTTCCATCTTGCCTGGCAGATGCGATGCTGTGGGGTCACTGACTACTCAGACTGGTACCCAGTGCTGGGGGAGAACACAGTGCCTGACCGTTGCTGCATGGAGAATTCCCAGGGCTGTGGGCGAAACAGCACTACCCTTGTGTGGAAAACGGTGAGGCTGGGTGCTGCTACCTGGGGTCTGTATGCGTCGGCCTGGCCAGAGGAGAGCTGTGAAAGCCGTGGCTCACTGCAGAGGAGACGGGGAGGAGACTGAAACCAAAAAGTCAGGGGTGTGCAGACATGTGTCCATGCATGCACGCACATGCTTGTGTGTGTGTCTGAATGCATACTCTACCCACAATTGTGAGAATTGGAGAGGGACTGTGTGGGCTCTGTGGCTATGCAGCTGGCCTTGCGGGTGAACTTTGGGACAGCCTGCCTGAGGGTCAGCAAAACAGGGGGCTGCAGGGCATGGGAAGGCTGGAGGAGTCACGGTCATGCTGTGGTTCACTCTCCAGGGCTGCTACGAGAAGGTGAAGATGTGGTTTGACGAGAATAAGCACGTGCTCGGCACAGTGGGAATGTGTATCCTCATCATGCAGGTATGGAGGGGCATCTCAAGTAGAGCCACAGGAGGGGAGAGGTGTAGAGAGGCTCCCAGCTTGTCCATGCTTGCTGTGGTGTCTGGGACCCATGCAGAATTTTCAGGCCTACAAACCAAGACTACTGTCACACTTCAGCTGTGACATGAGATCGCACCCAGCAAGCAGGATGGTGCCAGGCACTGAGGGGGTTGGCAGGTGCAGGTGCCACCAAGTGCCTTCCTGTTACTCTTCAGCCTATGCCTGTGGCTGAGAAGAAGTCACATGTCAACTCCCTGCTCACTGCTGGACAGCTTGAGCATGGGCTACACTCAGCATGGTGTTAGGAAGGCATAGCCAGTCTCTCTCTCCCTACCACGTGTCTCTGGATCCCTCACTCCTTTCCAGGGTTTAGGTTGACCCAGGTTTAGTAGGACCAAGCACTAGTATTGTTAGGCATATACTGTATGTCCAAAACCAAGTATGCTAGAAATAAGAACAACTCAGGTCAGCTCTCAAAACCTGAGACCCACCCCGACCCTGAGTCCTCCTGGGGCAGGCTCACACTGGGCCTCTGCAGTGTCCACAGCCAGGGAAGTGTGAGGAGAGGCCGCAGTGTTCCAGGCGCACAGCTGTGCCTATGCGTGACTTCAGGGTGTACCATCTCCTGTCTGTTGTGCTTTCCCAACGCCCCTCTGGCTGATCACTCACCTCAGGGGCTGGATGATAGCCAAGACTTCAGAGGCTGAGGAAGGGTTCGGACTGCCAGAGCAGTCATATAAGACCCTTCTCCTTGTCTTTCAGATCCTGGGCATGGCCTTCTCCATGACCCTGTTCCAGCACATCCACCGGACAGGGAAGAAGTATGATGCGTGAGCAGGCTGGCGGAGACCCCGCCCACTGGACACTGGAGGGGAGAAGGCTGAGCTCAGTGTCTCCTGCCTGTACCCTCGTGGCAGCCACCCCCACCCCCTCTCCCTTCCTCAGCCTCAGTGTGGACTTCTCAGAGGCAGAAGGCTGGGGAGGATGCACACACAGAGACTGCGGGGCACTGGGCACTGGGCCCTGCATCTGCACATTTGCCAAAGACTGTGGTTGGGGGTGTTGAGGAGGCTGGCACCGATGGGTTTCTGTCCTGCCCTTCTTTACCCTGACATGTTGTCCCCGAGTGGGTAAGGAGCAGGATGCTCCCCGGGGCAGCACTGTCCCCCTACATGGGCTACTGCTGTCTGTGTCCGCCCGGCAGGGTCTGCCCCCTGCAAGCAAGGCCCTGAGCATGGTGCCCAGGCTTTTTATACCTGACAGTGTAACTTTTTTATTTTACTCTGATTATGATTATTCAGGAATATTATATCTCAGATAAGTTTAGGGTTAGCTTTCTGACTTATAACTTTTTATCTGTTGATTTCCTTAGGTGTGAGTTTCCTTTCCTGTGGGTGGGCATGGGTAAGGAGACAACATTGTCCATCCACTTTGCTTCAGGACATACCTGTTTGACTCTTGGGTGGCTGTAGGGTGAGACATACCACGCGTTATGGAGTGTACTGAGAAGGGGCAGGTGAGCAGCATGGGAGGGCACCTTTCAGACGGGTGACAGCAGAGAGTCCAGTGCAGTGGGGAATGTGGGGCCAGGGGCTGGTGAAACACTTTGCCAGGAGCTTGATGTGAGCTGGCAGGGTCCTTGCCCTTTCTGACAATGGTCAGTGTGTGGTGTCTTCTCCTGCTGCCCTCTACACGGTAAGGCATCATGATCTCCTGCTGGGTGCTGTCCCCGAGCAAGTAACCATGAGCCCTGTGACTTTCAGACATTCCTGCTGTAGACTCTCAGACGGACACCTCCAGTTCTGGCTTGGATTCATCTTTACCTTGTTGTGGGACAGGGAAGCTGTCCCCATGTCTGGCTGCTCAGATGGCACAGAGGACCCGAAAGCCTCAGGAGGGGATGGCAGACCTGGCCAGGTTCTCAGGGCTACTGACTGCCCTGCCCAAATCTCCTTCCTGGAGCCCACTGCCATCAGCTGAGTTGTGAATGGCCGTCACATCCTGTGTGATCCCATAAAGCACAGAAAACCCACCGGGCCAGGTTGACCTGTCACAGCATTTCTAGGGAGAAAGCAGTGAGTGTTTGAACAGTGGGGAAGTGGTTGAGGTGCGGCAGGGTACCCCATCAGCACCACTGGGGCTGGGCTTGGAAGGGCTGCAACCACTGAGAGGAAATTGGTCTTCCCTGGACAGCTGCCTTCACCCACTAGAGTGGGACTGCTCCAGCCTCCCCTGCCTGCCACCCGCCACCCCGAAATCCTCCACCACACTTAACACATGGGTCGGGACCAGGGTGTTTTGGGACTCCGGTTTTGGTGTCGGGAGTTGGAGAGGAGAGTGGTCTCAGCAGGTTGGACAGAGGCAGGACTGTGGTGTGGGTGGAAATGCTGAGAAGGCAGGATGGGGCAAGTGCACATTTGAATGAAGTCGCCTTTCCCTGAACTCTGGTGCATCTTCCCAGCAAGGGGCCACATAGCTGCCTCCCCTGGGACCCCAGAATAAAAGGGCAGGGCAGAACCATCATCATTGTAAACATTTGGCAAACAAGTTGGTGTCAAACGGGATTGGTGTGTCATGTTTTTGCTGTGGATAGGTGGGTTTGTTTATGCCTATCAATGCAATTTTTAATTTTTTTTTAATAGCAGAAGCATTGGAGGCATAAAGCCTCCCTGGCATCTTAGGTTTCTGGAGTCTTTTACAGCCATCCTCAGCCCCACCTCATCCATCCATCCCAGACCCTCATCTACAAGCGCCTTCTTGCCCCACTTAGTGGAGCTGCTGAGTTGTTTGGCCGAGACTGTATGGGGCAGAGTCTCCACACACAGAGTGGGTGTTCTCTTGAGCCCCTGCCCATTCCAGGCCACCTGGAAGGCCCACGGAGTGATGCCACAGGAGGTGGCTGAGCGTCTTTTGGTTTCTCCTGATTGCCATCTCGCTGGGATGGAATTCCAGAATGATGCCCTCACTCTCAGCTCCCCTGGCCAAGGTCAGAGTTCTGTTCCATCAGGGCTGATGCAAGCAGTTGACAGACTTGACTCAGAAAGTCTCTTTGGGTTTGTAGGTAACTTCCAGGGAATGCCTGACAGACTTGGCATTTCTCTGTGGCATCTTGTGGAGGGCTGAGAGTGTGGTGCTGAAGACTGCCTTGGAGTGGCCAGCAGCAGGTGGTAGCCACTCATCACCCAGCCAGCCTGGGCCTGCACCTTGGGCCTTCACTCTGGGGAGATTGCTGACCACCACATCCTAGGTCCCTTGTGTGGTTCTGGTTTGATGTGGAGTTAGGAGGCCATGCTTCCAGGCCATGGTGGCTACAAAGCAGCCCAGGTGGCTGGAAGTGACTGTCTCCTCTCCTCCAGCCCCCTGCCCACCCTCTGGTGGAGGTGCTAATTAGCAGGGACACAGCACAGGATGGGAGCCAGGTGCTGGCTGCTTGGGGCTTGTTATTGGCCCCTTAGTCCTTCAGCGTCTGGTGGCTCCCCTGGCGTCCCTGTTCCCTCATCTTCCCCTCTGTTGCAGTGAGGCCATAGTCCAAGATGTGTCCTGGCCTCCCAGCCTCTCCGGGCCCTGCCCATGCTCTAAGCACCAGCTTGCCTGCCCCAGGGCAATGTGGGGGAGCCAGGAGTACACGCTTGCTGGTTTCTGATGCACTTTTCTGCTTGTGACACCTGTCTCTACATCTCCTCATCCCAGCTCTGGCTTTATTGGACACCACGTTTTTAGCATGTTTTTAAATAAAAATGGATAACGTGTCAAAGGCACAAGCGGGCAGTCTCTGAGTAGTGTGTTCACCCTGCTATGATGATGATCTATTTCATGTGACAGAATGGGGTGGGAGTGGAAGTGGGGTTTGAGGCCCTGATTTTCGCCTTTGTCCCAGATACTGCCCCAGAGCAGGGACCTCCTTTCCCTCTCAGGACCCAAGTCAGTGATATGCTGCTGGGGTTGTGTGTCTCATTCCCCTCTGGGAACCTGAGCATGCTGACACCCCTGCTTCTGTCTGATGACCTGATGCAGTTTTGATCAAGGGTCAGCCCTAAGTAGCTTTCATGAGAGGCCTTGGACTTATCTCGATAGCTGCCACCCAGCAGTGTGCCCAGGCCCTGTGTGGGGAGTGGGGAGGACTACAGGAATGACTTCCTGCAGAGGCAGGGTTGTCACACTAGATACTGTGTCCAGCCCATCTAGTATATCTGGTGCTCCTGTGAGCCTGACGTGTGTTTCAGGAGTGCAGGGTCTGTGCAGTATCACTTAGCATGAGGCACCTTCCAGGGGGCTTTGAAATAGCACCTAGGGGAGGCTAGAAACACACTAGAGGGTGGCTGTGACAAGGCCCTCTGGCTGGCTGGGCCCCTGTCTTGCCACCTCACAGTTATGGAAGGCTCAGTTGGAGTTCTGGGGTCACAGTCACTGTTACAAGTCACAGCTGCAAATAAGGGAAGCTCCGAGTGCTCCTTGCCCTAGGTCACTGCTGTGTCACTGACTCGGTGGAGGCAGGGATGAGTTAATTTCCCAAGGGTCTGACGCAATCACAGGTGGTGCAGTTTCCAACCTGAAGGGCTGCCTCCCCTTCCCCAGAAGTAGCCAAGTTGACTGAATTGTCCCAAAGCCTCAACCTGGGGGACCCCACCCTGCAGCAGCTGTGTCTTAAAGCCTATAGAGACTGTTAAGTCTAGGAGACCTCTCCAAAGTATAGCTGGAGTGGGCCTCTGAGGTCCTCCCAGGAGAGGTACCCAGAGGGGCTTTGTGGATTCAGGGCCAGGAGCTGGTCATGGTTCAACCAGCATTATCTGCCCAAATCAGAAATTTGGGCAGAAGCCACTTTTTCTTTGCCCATTCTTACTCTCCCCTCTGGCCTGAGGTGTGGACACACCTGCTGGGGTGCCTATGTCACTCTGTTCTAGAAGGCAGGCCAGACAGAAGGCCCTGTTTTCCTTGGGTCTTCTAATGATGAGGCTCGGGCCTTCTGGGATGGGTTTTGGTATTACCCATGGGAGAGGCGTGGCCAAGATGATTCTGAGGAATCCTCTTCTGCTGCCCCAGTCCCATGTAATGTGGGAGAGTACCTAGCAAAGGCAAGCAGGCAAAGATGCTGCCAGATCAGGGCTGGCACGGATGCGTACCTAGTCACTCAGGGACCTACTGAGTGCTGACTCATGCCAGGCACAAAGACTACAACTGGGGATGACTCACATCACGGCCCTGGTGCATGGGGATCTAATGACCAGGAAAGGACCAGGAAAGGATCATACCTCAGCACTGATTGTAAGACTCTCAGGTGACCGTGCACATCAGGTATTGCCCCAATTTGGGCAGAAGAACTAAGCTGAAGATGAGAGGAGTAGCCTGGCCAGGAGCACCAAAAGTTGTGTCCTAGGATGGCTGGGTGCAGGGGCTGTGGCAGAAATACAAGCACAGAAACCAGGTGGAAGAGTCTGAACTGAAGCCAGCAGCAGAGGAGACACTGAGAGGCTGCGAGCCCTAGTGTGACATCATGGCTCTGGCCTCGGGGAGGACTCCAGGCCTAGGGAGAAAAATCAGTGGGGACAGCATGGCTGCAGGAAGCATCAGTGAGGTGGATCTGAGACGCAGGAGAACCAACAAGCCGAGGTAGTGAATTCAACTTACAGGGGTGAGGGGTGTGCACATTCTTGCTGCTCACCCAGCAGATGCTCTCACCCTGCACAGGTAGACGACTAATTGTTTGAACCACATGGATAGGTGAGTGTCTGCAGGTGAGGGGCAGAGACAAATGTGGCACATTTTTAAGACTGCAGCGAGCTTCACAGCTTGCAAATGCTTTCATAAACATTTGCTAGGTTCCTCCTGACCAAAACTGTCTTCTTGGCAGTCTCAACCCTTGAATTTAGGGATGTATGTGACATGGGTACTGAAAGACCCAGGCTCGATACCCTCTACTGATATTGATGTCCATGTGAGTACCAGCAGTCATGGAACTTGTCTTGATTTTGCCACCCGCAAAAAGAAGATAATACCAATTTTCAGCCCTGCTGAGGGTTCGTAAAGGCCCATCCAGCTTTGTCCCAAGGACAAGTGTAGGTTCTTGGCAAGACATTAGTGGAATGTGGGTCCTGAAACTAAAAGCAGGGCCCCCAGGGATGAGCACTGTCCAGGCTGAAAGCTGGGGACACCAGTGAGTGGCCGAGGAGGGGAGGCGGATGTGAAGAGTGGAGGAATGAGTTGCCAAGCAGAAGTCACAGACGAGCGTCCCATCTCCACTCTGCTGGGCTGGCTAAACAGGAGCATTCGATAACCCACAGAAAGCAAGAGGGAAGTCAGATCAAATCAATGTCATTTTGGACACAAAAATATTGGTGTTGTGATTGTTTCCTTAAACTATTCAGCAAAGATCGGGAAACTATTGATTTAGTCATTTGGGTTTTGCTGAGTTTAAGGATAGCCATGAGATGAACCATTGTCTCTTTAATAAAAAGAATAATAATGAGCTGGCCCTCCTGCCTGATGCTACCCTCCCAGAGTGTCCCTTTCACATCCCTAGGGATGAACAGAATTGCTGGGATGAGCCTGGGACACTGACCATTTCCCTTGGTGCCCCTGGCCTCAGAGAAAAGATGAACTGGCAGAGGAGCCACAAAGTGACCTGTGTCTGGGGTTGTGGTGTCTGTTGCTTGGGATTTTTCTTTTTCTGGTTACAGAGTTCTGGAACTTAGCCTGGCCTGATGTCCAGAGCACTGTCCTCTAGCACACTGTCAATGCAGATGGCAGCCTGTGTTCTGTAGCTTAATGACATCAGGAAGCCCTTTGCCTCTGCCTTACTGTCTCACCCTAACTTGCTCATTGAATCCTCAGGAGCCCAGGATATCTTAATGCATTTCTCTTCTCTGGCAAGAGACTCCAGTCTCTGAAAGGAATCAGCCTTCTTATCCACCACTTGACCACTCAGAGCATGCTAGTCCCTAACTTGGAGTTCTCTAAAATAGAATTAGTGAAGTATGGGCTGCTCTTAGTATTTTAAAAGCCCCATGGATGCTGATCATCAGCCTCTCTCAGAAATGCTAACTCTTTTGGTTCAGGCTGGCTTTACTGTGTCCTCAGTGCAGGGATGTTGACTGTACCTGGCTGACAGGCTACCAGGACTCCACAGCCATTCTCTCCCAAGGCATCTCCTTCCTGCCCAGGTCATTCACAGCCTGAGTTTTATCTAGAAATGAGGGAGGGGGAAATGCAGTGAGGGCTTCCTGGTTATTTGCTTTGAAGAAGAAAATAAGGGCTTTGTCCCCGTGTCCTCCCCTCCCATCCAGTAGTCTCTCTATTTTTCATTGTGAGGAGTGAGTGGGAACTTGAGAGAACCCAGTCCTCAGGGCTGCTGGGAAGTAGCAGCAGCTGACAGGCCACCCAGCAGCCACCAAGGATGACTTGCGTTGCTCCAGTACTAGCTCTGTAGAGCCTGCCTGCCTGCGAGGTCCCTTTTTAGCTGCCAGGTCACGTAGGCAGCAGTGAGGCCACTAATAGTGCTGCTGCCTTGCATCCAGGAATGGTGTGGATGGTGCTGGTCCCTCCTTGGTGTGCAGTGCCCTTCAGCATGCACGTGTGCAGTGGTGGTGCAGGTGAGCAGATTCCATGTCCCCTGGAGAGCAGACAAGGTCAGCAGTGCCCAGCAAGGCAAGAAGTCCTCTGCTGGGGGCTTCCTCAGGGATCAGTCTGCTGATAGTCATTAGCCAAGGCTCCTTGGAGTTCACACAGGCAAGGGTTCTGCTCCCAACTGTCCCTTGGGCCATACCCTCCTGGTTCTTCTGTCTTGGGGTCCCCTAGAGCCCAGCTTACCCAGGTAGGTTTCTGGTTCTCACCAGACTTCATGCAATTTTCTAGAAGGAACAGTGAAATCAAAGAAAATGTTTTATGTCATGAAAGAAAAAGCATTTAGCTCCCTTTAGTTCTGTACTGGAGAGCTGATAGACTTAAGTCTGTGTGCATGGAGAACAGAAGGTTTAACTTGGACTTGGAGGTGAGGACAAAGTCGCTGGTGCCAGATGCTGGAGTCCAGTAGCAGGGAAGTAGTCTCAGCAGCCCCCAGCCCCACCCCCACCTCTCACCACATTGTGCAGGCTCAGAAGAGCAGAGTACAGGCTCCTCAGCCCAGGTGCCCCTTGGGAAGTGGGTGAAGCACTCACTGAGAGGGCAGGAAGCTGGGAGTGGGGCCCTAGGCAGGCACGCTTCTTCGAGCCTGGCTCTCATTTGCAGCCAGAGCCAATGCCAGTGTGAGCAGATGTCCCTTCAGCCAAGTAGATGACGGAAGCAGATGAAGGGAGTGAACAGGACCCTAATGATTGTGGCCTCAGATTTACTAATAGGGGAGCCATGACCCCCACACTGCTGAGGCCTCAGAGGGGCACAGTGCCTTTGGGGGAAACCACAGCCCAAGATTTCCCTGCAGGGGAGCAAAACGCAGATCTATGGAAAGTAGTCCTAGATATAATTCCTTTATTACCATGCCCTTAGCACTTCAAGCTTACACAGACCAGCAAGGGAAGGCCAGGTTTGCAGTGAGAGTAGTTTCCCTACATGCAGTAGGGGAAGGCAACTTCTTCATTCGTACTGTATGTGATGACCCGCTCCACAGCCAGTAGTTCCAGGGCCCAGGTGACCTCCAGCCTGTAGGGCTGCCTGGCATTCCTGGTGGCACTGTGCAAGATGGCGGGGGGAGGGGCGAGTATCACAGGAGGGAGGACTCTGAGTACAGGGCTGAGCATTGTGCTGGAATAGAAACGGGAATGAAAAGGACACAGAAGGGTTGACTTAAGGCACATAGATGGATGGTGGTGGGAGAGCGGGGAGGTCCACTGGCAAAGTCACAGCCCACCAGGGCAGGGGCTGTAAGGACGCACAGGTAGACTGAGCTGCACTTCCTTTTGCCCCACCCACAGTGCAACGACAGTGGGAACAGCGTCAAACTTCTGCAAGAAGAACCAAGCAACTGGGGAGGCTTTTGTCCTCTAAGGTTGTGACATCTGAGGGCATGTGGCAATGACTCCTTTGTGGTGTGGTCCAAAGCAGCGAACCTCAAAGTATGGTTTCAGGGCCAGTGGCACCAGCACCCTTGGGAACTGTTAGACTCCGTCTCTGGAAAAGCCCCTAAATAAATACCAAATACCAGCAAATTAAACAACTGGGCCAGATACTGATCACTACCATCTGCCACGGACGTGAGCGCCACCCAGCGTCCACCTGCAGTACTGCTGTTTTTGCCCAGTCTCCTTCCCAGGCTCATTGTGGCCTGTCCATAGGCAGGCAGTTTGCAAGGCTGGCAGTGGGGCAGGTGCTGAATGTAACCCTTTCAATTCACTCTCCCTACTCAGAACCTTGAGGGAGTCCCAGAGCGACACATTCTAGGACCAGAGTGGCCTTGTCACACCATTCTTACCCAAGAGCCCAGCAATAATGTGTGTGTAGGGAGCAGGGAGAACGGACAGAAAAAGTCTTTATCTAAAGGCACAATGTCCACACTACCACCCAAGACACCCTCTCTAACCAGCCCCCTACCTGCTCTAACTCTGTGAGAGCCAATGGTGCCCAGGGCAGGACTCAGCTAATTTTGTCCCCAGTCAGGCCAGCTGACTCAACATGTGGGGCTAGAGCTGACCAGTGAGGTGTTCCTGCCCTGCCTTGGTGACAAGGCTATGCAAGTGCCTGCCTGTCAGCTCTGTCCCCCATGCCCTGGAGAATGCAGGGAGACTCTTAGGGCGGCCATGAAAGGCTTGGCATCTCCCTCTCCACTGCTACCTCCCTTGGGGCTTCTGCAGAAAGAGCTTCCCGATAGGCAAGTTTCCTCTGCAGGCTGGGAGCCATGGTGGTTGTGAACAATCTGCTCGAACTCCAGGAAGTTGGAGGACAAGTGGGATGATCACGTTCCACCATTTCCCTTGGCTGTAGTACAGACTGGGGCTACTGGAGAAGCCCATCTTCTTTTGAACAAATTTTCATCGGCATCTCCTGGCCTTCTATAGAGAGAAGCCAGTCCAGGTGTCAGGAAGCCTTTGGAGGGTCCCTCTTTACCCATGGCTACTTCCTGCTCTGGAGACACTGAGTTTCTGAGCCACTCAGGGCTGTGCTGGTGACAGCTGTGAGTGTGGAAGCGGGCACCTTCCCTTGGTCTGAGCCAGGGCATCAGAGCTGTGCTCACCAGACAGAACTGGGTCAGGTAGGGTGAGGCATGACTTCCCTTGGCCTCACCTCAGCATGGCATAGTGCCATCATCCATGTGGGGAAGGTAAACACATCCCCACCATGGAGAGAAGTGCAGGACTCAGGAAAGATGGAAGCCCGGAGTGGGATTCTCATGTTAGAAGCTGCCCAAGAAACAGTTACTTGGAGGACGCTCGAGGCTATGGTCTGAGTTGACACCTGTTCTACTCCTATGTGTTCTAGTATTTTCCTTCTGTTCTCGCTTACAGTTTGGGAGGGTCTCTTCAGGAAACTTCCTGCTTCCTTCAGCGATGAAAGAGAACCAAATGAAGGGACAGTGTCCACTCTGCGATGATAGAAAAGGAAGTTGAGCACGGCCAACATGGTTAGGGAGAGAGCACCCCAGGAAAAGCAGGGTGTGGGGAGCCCCTCTACCCAAAGCTCCTCCTTCTCAGGGTTTCTGTTCCAACTTTGCAGGCTGGGATTTGGTCCACTGGGGGAGGACTTTTACATCTAATAACATTTATAACCCAGCAATCCTGATAATCTGGCCTTGAACAAAGCAGTCCTTAGGGGAAAGGATGGAGGGGCTCAGGCTGTGTCTCTGGGGTGCCTGTGCAGGGCTCTCTCCCTGGTATGGCACATGATGCTGTGGCCAGCTTGGCCCCTGCTCCTGCCTGGCAGCCGAGGCTTCACTGACATGGAGGCCTCTCAGAAGACAGTGGGCAGGTCACTGCTCTCCAGGTGACATAGTGTGGGCAAATCCAAGAGCTGGCTTGAGCCTACTCTCCCTGACCCACCATGGTGCTACTGTGGCGGTAGAGCAGGTGAGGGCCAAGGTCATCTGCTGGCCAACACAGGGGCTCTGTTTTCAGTCCTGCATTCCAGGTTCCAGCGCTGGGAGGAGGCCAAGCACCCAGCCCTCACCCTTCTGCAGTCCAGGGTGCCCATGCTGGGGAAGGGGTCTGGCTGTCTCTTGGCAGGGTCATTACTGCCCAGGACTTGGGCAGTGAGTACAAAGAAGTAGAAGGTCCTCGCCTGGCTTAGGCACTTGGTGGGCTCATGGGAGGAGTCTGTGGCCCCAGTTGGGCTAGAGCTGTGTCTGCAGGCCTGGTCTCGGTGAGAGGAGTCAGAAGCGGACAGAGTTGGCCTTTAATAAAAATGCCGCTGGAGTCTCTGGTGCAAACAGCAGGTGAGAATCATCCCACAGATCTGCCAGGTGAGAAGAGCAGAGAGCAAAGAGAAATCAGAACCCTCAGGGTGCTGGCTGCAAGGCCTGGAGAGGCTGCTGAGTCCTCCTGCTCAGAGGAGGTGGGGCCTGGTCCCTTCCCTGCTCTGTGCTGGTGCTTGAGAGGGGTCACACTCTGAGCTCTGCTGTCCAGGGCATGGTTTCCACCCTAATGGTATGGATCTCCTGGAACCTTGCTACTCAGGACCCTGAGATCCTGCAGGACCAAGTGGGAGCCTGAGGAGCTACATTTTTCACAAGTTCCCCATTGAAGCTGTAGGTCTGCAGTCCTGGATCTTCTCTAGAGACAGCCTGGGTTAACAGGCTCTTGGACGGTGGTATTTCCATTCTCCCAGCAGAGGTGTCTGAAGCACCTTGCTCTACAATGAATCTGCCTGCCTCCTGCTGCCTTCAGAATCCAGAGCAGAACTAAGGTCCAGGTTTGATGCTCTGGCTGATATTTGAAGCTACTGTGGCGGTGGACAGTGGGAGAGCATCTGGAGCTGTCACCAGTGTGTTCTGTAAACAGCGTGGGATGCAGACAGACCCAGGCCCTTGGAGAACTGTGTGAGAGCCCTGCCTTCAAATCTAGCAGCTACGCACAAGGGGCTGCTGCACACCTGCTTGGGAAAAATCACTTCCTGTCCAGGTTCTCAGCTTCCCATTTGTTCTTTCTTCTCACTCTCTATGGGCCTTCTACTTCCTCCTCTCCCTCTTCTCCCTCCCACCCAAGAATGCAGGGGGCACACGGGGGTGGGGTGTGACCAAGGATCTCCCAGACTGACATCGGTTCTGTGAATGACAAGGACATGCTGGATCTCAGCTCTGCTCACAAGAGAGGGGCCCTGTGCCCAGCAGCCCTGTCTCATGGCACAGGGGTGAAGGTGGACCTCCCTAAAAATGGGGAAAACATTCTGACTTCTTCCACCTTTTTTTTTTGTGGGCCAGATCTTGGCAGCACAAGCCCGATGTTCATGGCCCCAGCCAGAGAGGAGGCCAGGCCAGTGGGTATGCATGGTCATGAGGCAGCTGCTTGGTCCTGGAGGACTGGCTCAAGGCCTTCCTCCCTCTCTCCATGTCAGGTGATGTGGAAGAGAGAAGAAACTGCTGCTTTCAGCTCTCAGCCTCTGTGCTAAGAGCAGCGCTAATCTACCAGGGGACTTGGATCACAAGCCCCGTGGTGGCTGAGGAGGATATCCCATCACTGCGGGCCTTCAGCAGGTGGATGTCCATTGTTTCACCCAGGTATCACACAGCACACTCCAGACCCCACTTTACACCTTGCTGAATTTCCTGGGAAGTGGTCTGCATCCTTCTAATGTGTGTGGAGGGAGTGGCTAGGAGAAGGTGGCTGGGCTTGCAGACGCACTGTGAGCTGTGTCCATATCTACAGTGAGCATCGCTACGAGGTGGCCTTCATACCCTTGGATGGGGTGTGTTGCCCGGGGCTTCTTAGGATGAGCACAGTAAGGGCGGAGATGTGTGGAAGTACTCTCCTTAGTGTGTGTCCATGCATATGCACAAATGCTGAACACACTCTTGCCCTGAATCATGCAGAGGAGAAGGGGACATTCATATCCACATGTGTTGATGAAACACACACACACGCATATTCCACTCTGAACCATGCAGAACTGAGATATGGTCTCATCCATGTATGTGACATGAATACACACATACACATACACACATTTCTCATGCTGAATCACTTACAGGGGTAAAGGACAGTTTCAACCACGTGTGCACATGAACACACACACACATGTACACACACATACACATTTCCCCTCTTCCCTGAAATTGTACCAAGGCTAAAGGATGCTGATCCTGGGACCTCAAGGGAGCACTAGCAGGTCCCCCTTGGCAGAGGACACCTGGAAGCCACCATAGGCAGCTCCACGCAGCCAGCAAGGATGAACAGGGACAACACAGGACGAGTTCACTGCAGCCACTGGGCAGGTAGTGTGGAGCCAGGCCAGGCAGTGTGGCTCTCCTGGAGGCTGGCTGGCAGAGCACTCAGCCCTGGGCAGGGCATTGTAGCAGGCGTCTGATTTGCTCCGCTCCTTGGATGCTTTTGAGTCAGCACCTGGATGTCATCAGATGGCCTGAGGAAAGGGTGAAGGGAGTTCCTGGAAGCTATTCCCAATGGCCCTGCTGTTTCCCTGAGCAGGGCATGAAGACCCCAGAGTGAAAGGCTGTCTTGTGAGTCTCTGGGCTTGGAGGCCTACAGGAACACATGTAGTGTGATGAGCTGGGTTCTAGTACTAGTGGTGACAGTGGGCCCGTTACAGCTCTCTCTGAACCTCACAGCTCTCTCCATCAATAGAAAAACCTCCAGTATTTCCTCTGGCCCAGAGCCTGTCCTGGTGAGACATCTTTGTTTCTGATTTTTTTTTCTTTCTTTTTATTGGTACCGGGGATCGAACTCGCGACTGCCTGCTTGCAAGGCAGGTGCTTATGCCGCTGAGCTAAATCCCCAGCCCCTCTGGTGAGACATCTTAACAATGAGAAAGACTCCACCCCTCTTGCATGGTCTAGGGTGGCAAAGCCCTGGCCCCCAGGGCCCTTCCATGCAGCCCCCACTCCCTGCTGCCAGGCCTGCACACATGCCACACGTCTCCCGGGCTTGCTCACTCTGCCACTTCCTGTCAGACTCCTCCAGGGACCCACACCCTTCACTTTCTCCAGGAAGCTCTCCCTGACTCCCGTGGCTGGCTAGGGCCTTCTACAATTGCTCCTGCAAACCCCAGGGCTCGCACTAACCCTGTGCCTAGGACTTTGTGGTGACTGCCAGGGATCAACCGCATCCTGCCTGCTGCAGGGCCCAGCACAGACACCGCACCTGGTACACAGCAGAGACAGCTTCAAAGCCAGTGCAGTATGTCCTGTGGGTGCTGGGGTCCTCTTTGTGTGAGGAGGACAATAGGAAAAGACAGCCAGGTAATCTTTTTGGTAAAAAGTATCCCAGCCAGAATACTCTAGAAGTCTCTCTCTAAAGTTACCTAAATAGAATGCCGTCAGAGCCCACTTCAAAAGGGGGGTCTCAGGGAAGAGCTCTGGGGGTGAGCATTTTGGCTGGCCCTGCCTTTGGGGCTATGTTATAGGATTCTCCATTCTCAGTCACCAGGGAAGCTTACAAAAATGCTCCACACCTACTACAGTTAAGAACAGAGAAGTTGAGGTACCCACTCCCTTCCCTTCATCCAGCTATGCCCACAGCACCTCCCTAATGGTTACCCACGGTTAAGCTTAGGCAGTTGCAGTGCCCAAGGTGGCAGGTCATTGACACCAGTGAGAGAAATGGGAGGCACCTGGAGGTAGAGACATCTGACTCTTTAAATGCTAGGAACGTGAGTTATTGAGGATTCCTCTGCCTCCTTTTTCCTTCTGCCTGTTCTGCTGCTACTGGCTTATAATCGTCAATAAATGTAGCTGTGTACTACTTAATATGAGGTATACACTTGACAATTCTTTCCCTGTCCTGCACAAGAACCTGGACTATTTTTGGCTCAGTCAACTTTAACACACTGGCCTTGGCTCAGACAGGCAGGACCAAAATCTAGAGAACCTGGGTCTCAGCAATAGTATTTTAAAGGAGGTGGGGATTTAGCTTAGTGGCATAAGCACCTGCCTTATAAGCAGGTGGTCGTGAGTTCGATCCCCGGTACCGATTTTAAAAAAATAGTATTTTAAAGATCAGATTCTCATGTGCTGCTAGTGATGACTTTGATGTCCAGACAGTGAGTAAAGAGCCTTTAGGTTTAGGGAGTCTATGAAGTAGAGGGGTCTATAGACCCCAGGGCCCCTTCCAGGCTGGCAGACGAAGTTGGAGGAGCCCAGGGTCCCTTCTGGGAGAAAAAGCTGAGTTCTCTGAGGGTACCACCTCAGACTGTGGGCCTCTTGTTTAGCAACCTCTGCAAAGGCCATTCCAGGCTCCATTCATTGTGATGGGGGTCTCCAGGCTGACCAGAAGACCCCTAGGAAGAGTCCCGTCTGTCCATCTCCCACAGGACAGCTGGGGGCACTGTGTCCTCCCAGTTCTGGCCCTACCTACCCTCTGACTTCTGGCTCACCCTTGTCGCCTCCAGAGGGCTGCACAATGGAACACAGGGACCTCACAAAGACCCCTGCAGCAGCTACAGATCATTTTAGTTCACTGTGTTGGGGTGCAGCCTGGTTTTGGGATTTGACAGCTTGCCATGGTTGGGGACCCCTGCTCTGGGGGCTTTGCAGGGTCCATTTCTCAGGGGGACAGAGCTCAGGGCATCCCTCAGCATGGCCTAAGTGGGCATCTTTCCCAGCTCAGTCCCAGTCTGCAGTCCTGTGACTCAGCGCCCTCTAGTTTTGCTCCGTCTTCTGTGTTACAGGTTTGGTGCAAAACAAGATAAAAGTTGACACAAGGCTGGAAACTCTAAAAAGACTCATCCTCTTAGCACATCTTTTCCAGCTACCAGGTCACTGTTTCCATGCCGGCTTTATCAACCTGCCGTCCCTGCAGATCTGGTCCGTGAGCAGTCACTCAGCTACCTGGCCTTCACAGAGTCCACCAAGTGGGTGAGAGGCTGGAGGTTGCCAGGCCTGTGTTAGCCCCTTCCCTTCCCTCTCATGGCGTGGTGGCCTGACACTCTCTCTCCCAAGCAGCCCAGGGCCAGGGTGGCTGTGCCACTGAGGACATTCGACACACTGCCAATGCCTGGCAGCGCTCAGACCTCACAACACTCATTACCCTCTCCCCTTAGTTCTCAGGGCCTTCACCAACCTCAGGCTTCCACACCCAGGGTCTGGAGGGCAGCGACCTGAGGCAGCTGGCCGCCGGGGTGGGTGTCTTGCCGAAACTCAGAGGGCGCTGCAGCCAGAAGCGTCCCAGCACAAGGGCCAGCGTGGCTTTGAGCCTGGAGAGGGGCAGCCGTCAGGCCCCACAGCTCTACCTCAGGTGTTCAGTGGTTGGTCTAGGCTGCCATGTGAGATTTCTAGTGAGGGGCAGATGCTGCTGCTCTACAAAAGGCTTAATTTCCCCCGTCTTTCAAAAAAAAAAAAAAAAAAAAAAGGATCTGAAGGAGAAACAAAATGGAAATAAAGCTTTTACAAATACAAGGGGACCGAGAGCTGGAAGGAGCAGAACGGATGGGAGAGGAGGGTGAGTGAGGTGGTGTGCTCTGCGCATGTGTCAGCTCCCCAACAAATACAAGCATTATGTACTGCAAACATGGGTTAATAAAAATCAGTAAGTAAAAATGAGAACAGTAAAAACAGCTACAAAACATTCGGCCTCTCCATTCTACAGGCAAGGAAATAATGGGGAAGCGTGACCTCCCCACCTTCACACAAGGGCAAAGCTCGCATCTGGAATCCAGGTCCTCTGCTTCCCAAGCAAGGCTTCCTCCTGTTCCCAGAGACAGGGAACGTCAGATGGCTGGGCTGAGCCGGGGTGGGAGGTTGGGGGGACTGGGGTGGGTGGGGGTGTCTCTGAAGTGCTTCGGGAATGACTGGTGTCTGCTTGACCAGGGAGGAAGACCAGCTGCGGAGGCCTGGTGTGAGTCCCGCTGAGGTGGCAGCCCCCCCCCCCCCGCCGGGGCAGCTTAGTGCCTGGCTGTGGCCAGCAGAGGGAGCTCTAACCGAGGTTTGGCTGCTGTGGGGCCTGCAGGGGAGAAAAACTGGGCAAATCTGCACTCAGGCGAAGCACAGTCTTGAGGGTCCTCACATTCACTGCACAGTGAGCAGTGGAGCCGTCCATGGGGGTGGATGTGTGCCTGCAGGTCCACTGCCAAGTGACCTGCGCTCCTGATGTCAGACTCAGGCAGCTGGCTTGTGCCACCCGGACCTTGGGCTCAGGGCTTTCAAAAGCGCTGTTCCCTGCCCTGGGGTTTATGACCTTTGGCTATTGTTTCCGCAGACAGAGCAGGCAGGGAGAAATGGAACAGACCAGGCCTGTCAGGAGTCCAGAGAAATGAGTTTCTGGCCACCTGAGCTAAACCATGGGCATAGGACAGATGGGGCCGTGCTGAGCCTTCTGGGACTCTGGCCATGAAGATGCGTGAGCCTGTGGGGAGCAACTGGGGATGGTTCTACAGGACAGTCAGCCCATGGAGAAATAATGAAAATGATGTGTGTTCCTGAGTGAACACCTGCTCTCTGCTTGGCTTTTGCCAAGCAGGCGATGTACATGGGCAATGCTAATGTTCATGGCCACGGCTGAACCAGGTGTAATGCTCAAGTGAGAAACTGAGGTTCAGAGATAAAGCTCCTGGCTGTAGTCACACAGCTCAAGGTTGGCAGGACTGAGATGGATCTCCTTCCAGAGGCTGCGGATCCTCTGCCCAGCACGTGAGGTTATAACTGGACCCTCTAGGCTTTAGAGCAGACAGACGAGATCGGGGCACATTCAAGGTGATATGGCCCTAGGCTAGGCTTTAGATTAATGTGGGTGGAACCACACAGTCTGGAGAAACCTCTGCCTTGGAGTGTCTCCAGACTAGGGGACATGGCCAACCTGGTGTTTCTTTTCTACAGGCCTCAGTATGGAGAAAGGAATCTAAGAAAGCAAAGGACCTCAACTTGGGCACCCAGCTGCTAGCTCAGAGAATGAGACCCTGGATGAGTCATCCCTCTGGCTCTCAGCTTTCTGCTCTATAAAAGGGGACAGCATCCTCCCTAACTGGCCTGGGTCTCTCATGTCACGAGGCTCCAGAGAGAGGCAGCGTCTGAAATACTCTGAAGTCCACAGAGAGCTCGAAGAAGTTCCCTAACTGTGGCTTTAACACATCATATTCTTATGTAGCCCTTTTGAGGTTGGGGAAATGACCCACTCCCTGCAGATGAAGCAGTGAAAGGACAGGGTCAAGATGTAACTGTTCAAAGCCTCACAATAATAGAGCTAGCACTGGACTCAGGGGTCGTGCAGAGTCCCTGCCTTCCTGGATGCTGCTTATAGCAGTGGAGTGAGAGGTGCAGGAAGGTTGCAAGACGTTGAGCTGCTGCTACAAGCATGGTCCCTCTGCAGCTCTTGCCTGCGGGACTCCCCTTGCTGTGTGTCTGGCCCCTGGTAGTTCCCGCCTGGCTCCTGGTTGGAGGCTATTTCCTGGACAGAGGCTGGAGAAGGAGTGTGAAGGGAAGAAACAGGAGCCCCAGGTCATTGTTCATCCTCTGGAGAACCCTGGGCACAAGAGTACATGCACACATGCATACTTACACAAAGGAATGTGTGGGTACATATGTCCTCACACACCCTACATGCACATGCACACTCAAACACATGTGTGCCTTTAATGAACCAACTAGATCCAGATGCATGCAGACACTCAAGGATCCACATAGGCTGTGCACACCAGTCCCCTTGCACACACACAGGGTGCATGCACACACCTGCGCCCACATTCACACTCCTCCTAGGCCCCTTCATCTCACAGTTCAAGCTGTCCAGTGTTCTCTGGGGAGAGACTGACCATGGGGTCCAGCTGGAATTGTAGAGGAAGGAGTGAGAAGAGGGTAGGGCAGGTACAACCTCAGTCGTGGTGAGAGGAGTTGCAAGGGCTTTCAGACACCCGTCTCCTGTTCCCCAGTCCGACTCACCTGCATGCAGGCCACCCCGATGCCCACTGCCCCCATGAGCAGCAGATGATCAGCCAGGAACTGCTCCAACTTGGTGATGCAGCCTCCCTGAAAGAGAGTTGTTGGTCACAGGCGTGTTGGCCAGCAGCAGATGAGTAGGATATAAGGTGGGACAAGGATCCTGCTGTGTCCTACTGAGGCTGGAGAAGGCCAGGGATAAAAGGGCCTGTATCCAGCCTTTGAACTGCTACAGGTTCCTTGGGGATCCCAGGGGGTGCCATGATGTCTGAGGACCTCCCAGGGAGCACTTGTCCCTGGCTCTGAAGAGGCCCTCAGCACTGTGTGTTTCGGTGTCCCACCTCCACCCACCTGGCTGGCCCCCATGAGGGCCCAGGCACTCACCTCCACCTTGTAGATGTTGGAGGGGTGCACTCGCTGGCCACAGCGTGCCACCACCGTCTTGCAGCAGCTGTCGGGCACCCGGCGGCCCTGGGCCTCCTGGGACTGGATGTAGGCACTGTGCTGCCAGTCCGCTGAGCCGTTGCTCCCACAGCACTTGAACTGCAGGGAGGGGAGGCAGCTGGAGGTGAGGGGGGGGGGTCACAGTATTCACCCAGTTCCTTCACATTCTGGATTCTGCCCTTCCCTGTTGCAAGCGCTCATATCCGCAGGTAAGGACACCTGCTCGCACACAAAGGGGGACATCTCCTGGGCACCCAGGAGGCAGGACCTAGAGACAAGGACCAGCCTTACCAGAGATCCTAGATGTCCAATGGCCATTGAAGCCTCAGAGACCCCAGATTGCAGAGGCACTAGGAGTGTCCCAGAGCCCAGCCTGTGTGAGCAGATCGACACGGAAGCCAGGAGCTGGTGTGAGTGTCTGCAGCATGGCAGGGTGGGAAACACCAGCCTGACAGATGCTGGTTCAGAGTGGACTCATGCCACTTGCTGTGTGTGCAGAGGCACTGAGGTCCGAGTGTGCCCCAGTGAGGCTGGAACAGGCCTCAAACAGGAGTAGGTATCCTGCCATCAGGCAGCTCATCCTTCACTGCTGTGTAGCAGATGACAGAAACACATGTGTGGCTCCGAGGAGGAAGGGTCAGGAGTGGGTCATGACAGGAACAGGGTTCCAGGTGCTGAGGCAAAACATAAACAGGCAGAGTGTGGAGCTGCTCTGCGGTGTCTGCAGGGACCCCAAGGCCAATTCTCTCAGGGCCACTTTAAAACAAGCACAACAGCAGCTTCCCCGGCAGAGCTGTTTGAGGACTGGCAGAGGCGGCGTGTGTAAAGCATTGGGAAAGGTCCTCAATGAGCTAGTGGTCAGGAAGAGACACCGTCCACCTCCATCTACACTGCACTGTGGTGTGCGTGTCCATGTGTCACACACACGTGATGCACCCAGGAAGCTGGCCCCAGGAAGACATGCTTTCTCAGGACATGTCTTCTCGGGTGTGAGATGCAGACGGGGTGCTGACTGTCCCCAGAGGTCCCACAGTCTTCTCTGCCAGCTGCGCCCTTTCTGCGTGTAACCCGCCCTCATCCCCTCCGCTTGGCAGGAGCTCCAGCCCAGCACTGACTCGACTTGTGTTGCCCACGCCGCAGTCCCTTCTTGTGTGAGACCCCGGGGCAGGGCCTGTCCCGTGGGCTGTCTGGCTTAGTGCTCACATTGCTTCCCTGAGTGGGCCCTGGGGTCGGGCTGCACGGGTGGGCCTGTCCCTGTGCCCCGGGTCTGCTGCCTGAGCAGGGACGCCTCTGAGATGCCCACTGGAAGCCAAGCTGGTGTCTGGGGGCAGCTGGGGAGCTTAGGGCCACTGACTTCTTCCTGTCCCTGCTCAAAGTTTCTGGGCCCCAGGTAAGGTAGGCTGGGCTGATGGGGAAGGGGGAACCAGAGAGGGAAGGGAAAGTTGCTAGAATTTCCTCACACATGCAGATAAGACTAGAGCACGCAGCTCAGCAAAACTTTTTCGAGGAAGAAAGCAGCCTGGACCTGTGGTAGCCATATGTGGTTCCACAACACATGAATGGCGCCTGGGGTGACAGAGGGACTGAAGTTTGCACTTCATCTAACTTGAATGTGGACACTCATGAACCACTCGGGGCCTCCGCAGGGACAGCACAGCCTGTCCCCTACGTGTGGCCAGAACTGCGGGCCTCACTGGAGCAATCTGCTTCGTCTCTTTGGAAAGCACAGTCACAGCCTGTCCCCCTCACCCTGCCCAAGTGCCCAGGCAGAGCGAGGAACAGCAGGCTGCTCCAGGGTGCATCTGCACAGAGGCCCCAAGGCCACTCCTGTTCGAGGCTACTTGTAAAACTAGGACAACAACAGTCTCTCAACAGCACTCCAAGGTCTGGAGGTCCCTTCTCTGAGCTCTGGTTCCTGCCCCAGCTCTCCCCTCTGGGTCTTGGACTCAAGAAAGAGTCCAAGAAAGAAGAAGACAGAACAGAGAGAAGGAGCTAAGATGGGCAGGTCCAGCTTCCTGCCCTGGGAGACCAGAGTGGTTGGCTGCAGGAGGGGTTAGAGGAGGCGCCAGGGAGCCCCCATGGAAGTGAGGGCAGAGGAAGTGAGGGAACCAGGCTTCTGGGAAGACTTCCACGGTGACTAAAATATCACCACAGTACTGCTCTAAGACGCCCATTCTAGGGATACAGCAAGCTCAGAGAGGGTAAGGAGCTTGCCCAGAGTCACACAGATGGGAAGGGGAAGGGACGAGGCAGGATGTGGGCTGAGGCTGTGTGGCTTACGTCCTGCTGCAGACGATCCACCGAGGCGGTGATCTCCGCTGCCCTGGGCTGCCCGTAGTTCTCCGCCAAGGTGCGGTTCAGGTGCTGCTTCAGTTCGTCACTCAGCTGTGGAGGGAGGAGCACAGGTGGGACCCCTGCCCCCTCCCCTCCAGATCTCCAGGACACTGTGGCCTGTGGTGCTGCTGTGTCCTGGGTAGAGCTGAGAGGGACCAGGGAGGGGACAGATCACATTTCATGGGTGGCGGGCTGGACGCAGGCTGCTTTCTGTAGCTGTGGATTTGCACTTTGATTATGAGGTGATACTCATTATATATATATGAGAAAAAATTTCAGAAGAAGATAATTAGAGGATAACAATGGTTAATACATCGTGTACTGTTATCTTTAAATTAGTTACTCATAGTAGAAAATACCTGCATTTAATTGTGATATTCATAATACTGACAATGGTTGTCCTTCGAGGACTGATGGGACACTGGCTCCCTGCTGTCTCCACCAGCCCAGAGTCACCCTGCACATGACCTCAAGTCCCTGACTCAGAAGGCACTGGGGTGGGAGGGAACCAGGCTGGTCACTTCTTCCTCACCCAACCCAGGCAGGCAAGGCCTGAGTCTGTCTTTGTGGTCTGGCCTTTCTCCCTGGCCCAAGCCTCCCCTCGGATGCTCTGATGGACAGCTCTGTGCTTTACATCTCCTTGGGAGGGACCAGGATGGTGCTAACGCTGTGGGAAGGTCCCTCTCTAACTCCCTGGTGGACACCTCAGCTAACAGAGGTGGCAGAGCTACTGGTGCCAGGACAGGCTCCAGACTTGAAGAGCACTGTTAGTCCCTTGAGATGGGACCCTGCATGTGTCTGTTTCGGCTTCCCCTGCCACCCTCTACCTGTGGCACCTTCCACTCACCCTCTGGTAGTACACATGGGCCAGGACTCCTGCCACCAGCTCCACGAGGAAAATGACAAACAGCAGGCAGAAGTACTAGGAGCAAGGAGAGAAAAGGGTCACACCAGGGGTTAGGTGACACCAATTTGCCCAAGGACAGGGTGGGACTGCTGGTGGTCCATCACTCCTGCCATCCTCTTCTTACCCCTGCCATTCTGCTCTGGGCCAGCGGCTTCTGCCAGCAGCTGGCATGGACTATCCATGCCCTCACTCATGGGTCGGCCGGCTCCAGTCACCCATGCACTGCTCAGTAGGCACTGAGGCCACCAGATGCCAGGTGTGGGCACGGTGACCAAGACAACCTTTGCCCTTCAGAGTCTCTAGAAGTGGGGACAGACACATGAGTGACCACAGTGCTGTTCTAAGTGGAACTACAGGTTAAGACCTAGGGAGAATGCGAGACCAGGGAGGCCACACCTAGCGCCTGAAGTCTGCAGAAAGTGTGGAGGGTTGTATTTGGAGTGGGCAGGCTGGTCACTGTGAGCGTGGGGCAGGAGGAAGCAGAGGCAGAGGCCTGAGCAAGGTGACTTGTGTGCTGTCTTCTAGCTGGTGCCTACTTTGCACCTCTTCTGGCCCCATAGGGTTATCCTACTGCTGCTCACCATACCTGACCCATTCCAGGGTCAGGCTGCTAGCTCCCAGGCTGCGTCCTCGTGGAGGGTTGGAAGAAGCCAAGCCCTGTCCCCTCCCACAGGGCCCTCCACCAGCAGTGAGGCTGCTGGACACTGCTAGGCTCCTTTGTGTCCTTGGAGAAGCCAGTAGGTCAGACTCACATGGACTGGGAGGAGACAGGAAGAGGTGATAGGCAGGCTAGAAGGGGCAGAGGGGAAAGAGAGGCCACTGTCCCCCAGACTTCCTAGGACACTGCCCAGCACTGGCCACATGAGGGTCCAGGTCCATGGTCACCAGGATCACTGGACTCTAGGGACAGGCCAGGCTGTGGGTGACAGCTGAGTCTCCAGGCTCTGAGTAGGGGAAGAATTGGGCAGGGAGAGGCAATTGTCAGGCACCCTGGAGGGCAGGTGGGGACAGTTGGCGACTGCAGGGACAGCACTAACCCACAGGCTGAGGTCTTGCCGGCCTCCTGGTGGACACTCAGGACACGGTATGGCAGGGTTGCAGAAACACAGGGGAGGGTATGTTTCTTTTCATGGAGCAAGAACAGAAGAGCAAAGCTACTTTTGAATGAAGTCAACATCCCTCCTCCCCCACATGGATTTTATTCCACTTTTGGAGCTGGCATTTCAGGTCAGGCTCAGTCTGTGAGTGGGGTGCTAGTTCGGTCTGCAATGGCCTCAAAGTTCATGTGCTGATGGCTTGGTCCCGGGGCAGCATTGTTCAAAGTGACTGGATTACATGGTCTTGGACGTCATTAGTGAATCATCCAGCAAAGGACCCATCATTTCATGGCATTCTTGGGAAGTAGTGGAAACCAGGAAGTGGACCTAGCTGGAGGATGAGGAGCGCCCCAGAATAGATCTGTCCCTGGCCTCTGTCTACGTCTTGCCTCACCTCCTGACTGCTATGAATTGAGCAGCTTACCTCCTACACACTCTTCTGCCAAATTTCTTCCTTGGTGAAGGTTGAAAACCATGGTAGCAGCTGACCACTGACGGAAAGCTCTGAAACCATAAGCCAAAGTAACCTTTCCTTTGAGGCGCCATCCTTGAGTACCCTGCTATAGTGTCAGAAAGCTAACACATGTTGGGGCAGGCCTGCCCTGTCATCTAGAGGCCTGAGGTGAACAGGACAAAGGGAGGCCCCTGGTCTCCTTTCCCTCCCTACTCAGGGCCTATGCTGCCCCAAGTGAGGCTTCAACCTGTGTCCCCAAACTGTCTACCCCTCCCCAGGATTAGGCTTCTTTTAGCTGAGAAAATAGGACTGGGGCTCCATCCTGGTGGTCCCACATCAGTGGCAGGACCCCATGGCCTCTGTGTGGAGGTTTGGGCCCTCTGGACAGGGGACTGAATGCCCTGGGTGCCAGGAATAGGACCTGGGGCTGGGGAGAAGTTCCAATTCCTTGGCCTCTTGGACTCTTCTCTTGATTGCCTGGATGTCAGAATGGTCTTGCATAGGACTCAGGGGAAACTGGGGAGAGAATCCTACAAAATGTTGTGTGTATTTTTTCTCTCCACTCTCAGGGATAGGCAAGAACCCAGGAAGGCAATGCCAGTTGATGCCTGCTGGCTTTGGTCAGGTGGCCACTATGCCTTGTGTAAATTAGAAGTGTGCAAGGATAACAGGTCCAGCAAGGGCTGTGCAGGCTGAACGTGGCCTTCATGGCTCCTGTGTATTGGACACAGGCTGGAGGGCCATCCATGGTGACCCTAACTGTGGGACAGGCCTTCATTTCCTCGACAGTGGGTGGTGGTGGCACTGCCTGCTCAGTCTACTCCTGTGGCAGGGGAGCTTGCGTCATAGATTCTGCCTCTTCCTTCCAGAGCTTGGGCCAGGGGTGAAAGCTGAGTTGCCCTTGGGAGCCAGAGCAGGCACCATCAGCTCAGGCTGGTACACAGCCCTCCTGGGGCAGCCTAGCTCGCTGGATAGAATATGGCCACACTGTAACCCACCTGGGGATTCCTCTCACTGTGTCACACTCCTTGAGGCTCTGGGAGATGCTGGGCCCAAATCGTCTCTCCACCACCTCCCCCACTGTAGCACTGAGAGGCCCTGGTCCTGCCACACGGGTCTCCCTGGTGTGAGATAGATGAAGAGATGATGGGGTGCCCATGTCTGTCTGGGACGACTCGGTTGCTGGCAGCTAGGAGGCAGCACCACGTCACCAGTCTTCCCTTTTCTGTCGGTGCTGTCAGTCCTGAGTCCCACGTGGACACTAGTCCTAAGATGTGTCTTGCTGACTCCCTGGGGATGGCACTGCTACAGTTGTAACTGCACACAGGTGAAGAAGGAGAAGAGAAACCACATCCCTGATGTTATAGCAGGCTAACTTAGCTAATGCAGCCTCTCAGGGTCTGGTTCAGGGGCATGCATGGGCTGCATAGCCTAGCCTGGCTGTCAGGGGAGGGGTGTGCTGGTGCCAGGCAGGACCATCCCACCAAGTAAGTGATATGGAGCTCCAGTCTAAAGATGGGCCAGCTGGAGGGGGTCGAGCAGTTTCAGAGGCAGGAGGGCTGCAGGTGTATGACTCACCTGGCGGGGGAGGCCCTGAGTCACAGATGGAGGGGAGACAGCTCCTGAGAGACAGGCAGCGAAGAGCTGTCCGTGGGGCTCCCTCAGCCTGGAGGTTGCCAGTAATCCTGGTCGTGGGGCAGCTGCTGCAGTTCTGGGTGATGCTGTTGTTATCCACGCGTGGCCTGGGCTCTAACAAACAGTACTGCCCTTTCACCTCTCCTTAGCCTGGGGCTGGCAAAACCATCTAGGGCTTCTGTGGCACAGCTGCTGCCCACGCAAATTTAAGCACTGCTCTCGGTCCTACATCCGGTCCCTTCATTCAGGACAAGGTATCCAACCTTCAGCAGCTTCTCTTCCAGACCCCCCTGCCTGGAGTTCTGATATCTACTACACTTTTCAGTCCCAGCTCAGTCCCAGCTCCACTAAACCATCTCTGGTGGACAGTGAATGCCAGCACCTTCCTGAATGCCCATGGCACTTCTGTCAAAGGGATGGGCATACGACAGAGTCAGCTAGATGCAACAGATGACAATATACCAAGTTAAGTGCTACTCTAAGCCATCCAACTAGTTAAACTTAGAAGCATAAAAGCAAACATGGGAAAGTTGATAAAAAGGGTAAGTAAGCTAACTTAGTTGATAGCTCCTCTTATGTCTGAGCTGGATTTGGAGAAACTTACAAATACAGAGTAAACTGATTTCCTTTTAACTCAGCCTTCTGAACATCTGATTTGCTTTAGACTCTATATAACAAAGTCTAAGCTCCAACTGGTTATTCTAAACTCCCCAGGCCATAACTAAACTAGTTTCTGCTCTCTTATCTTGGCTTATTCAAAGCCAGGACAAAGAAAACACTCCTTCCCCCTATGCTCTAGGACCCCTCTTGGACCCCTATAGGAGCTATTTTTCCTCTTGTATTTCTAGCAAAGACTTCTCCTGGAAGCTCCTTCCATCCATGATTTCATTCTTTGAGTTCAGAGGACGCAGGGTGCACACCCTGCCCACCTTCTGCCTCACCTGCTTTTTCTCACTCCAGACTCAGCTGCTCTGTGCCTCTGCCTGTCCACCCACTGCTCCTCTGATGGGCCTTCCTTGGAGGATGACATGACTGCTCGGTTTTGGCCACTTCGTTGCATGTGTCTGCCACCTGTCCCCTCAGAGTGACTGTGGGTTTCTAGGGAGCAGGGCCCATATTTTGCCTTTTTATGGCTCCTGCATGCTTCCTGGGATGGTGTAGGGTATAGAAGTCCATCTGAGAACACCCTGGTTTAGATGGAGGGGCGTGTTCTCTTACGAAGTATATCTGCACATGGAACCAGGGCAGGGGCAGCGGCTTCATCTCTTCTGCTCCTTGTAGACTCAGAACCTTTACCTTAGATGGGTTTATATGGTGTTCGCTAGCCTGTCATCAAGGCTGATGCTGCCACTTGAGTTGCATATGTGTCCCTGTGCATTGTGGGAGACACAGAAAGATGATTCAAGGGATCTTAACTTCTGAGAAGCACAAAACTGATGAACTGGGGCGATTTTACTATGTGCCTGCCTTGGAGGGCTCTTCTGTGGCTTAAGTGAGGATCAGAGAAGTCTACACTGCTTCAGCTCCCACTCCTCAGGGCTTACAGGAAATACCACGTAGGCAGAACACTCCAAAAGCCCTAAGTGACAACCTGGGGACAGTCTGTCTTCTGAAGAAGCTGTAGCCCCTAATTCTCTTCAGTGAGCTGGGGAAGAGTTTGTAGGGAGGTTTCTATAAGAAGTTAATTCTAGGAAGCATCAAGAAGATTCTTTAAGCCTGTTTTCCTTTAGCCTTAAGTGTGATTTGGTATTGACTTTTGAATTTTTAAATATAAGCCAGTAATAAGAAACCCTCAGGTGATGTGTAATCGGAGGTGTTGCATCCCAGGG